AGCGAGTGATGACTCATTCGGCGCACATAATTGGTGTTGCTGAGCGCACCAGTTTTAGACACCAAGTCTGATCAATCGTGGGCCACGGTGGAGGGTTTGCTTTGTGTGAGTCTCCGCTGTGCTGAGAAGTGGGGCATTCAAACTGTGTGGCTGCCACTATCAGATTTGTTGTGGGCCCCAGCATGTGGTCTTGAACCACGCCAATGATAATGAATTAACCCTGGCCAGATTACGCTTCCCTGATACCCGCGATGAAGAAAAAGACCGGAGAGGACGTGGACACAACCGTCTACTTCAGAGCTCAGCCTCGTTGGTGTCGTTACGTCGTGTGTGGGGTTTGCGTGTGTGTATTTATACCTCGGATGTGTGAGTCATACATGCACTAACATCGAGACCTAGATGTAAGGATAACCCAGGATAAACGATCGTGCTAATAAGGGGGCAGTTGAGGATCCGCCCGGCTGGCGACATACTGCGAAAAAGGGAATCCTGTGTGGGAGGTGGAGCGACCGGGTTAAGGGGTGTGAATAAACACGATTCACAACAGATTAATACCCTCTGTCATGTGTCTAGAGGTGGTCGGTCTTCTGACTGTGATTGCAGTCAAATTAAAAATTCCTGCAACTAGGCCGCCTACCGAGGTGATCGGTTTCTGATTTATCAGACTCCGCCGCGTAACTTGGTCAATTTAGTTGTTTGGATCCACAGATTATGGTGGCTAAAGTTTGCTGTCTTGGCAAACAAGTCCAAACGATAACTGTTAGGTGAATGTGGGGCTGCGAAGTGGCCGATTACTTGCTCAAGAAGACAGCCAGTTCAATGAATACATTACAGTGTGTCCAATGGCGTGTTTTAACTGCCTGGTGTAATGTTACAAACAATTTACTTGGGTGAATCTCGTATGAGTTCAGCTGGTCAGCCTGCTCTAGTACTTCTACGACCTACAGTGACAGAAGAATCCACTGAACCGTGACGAAGTCAATTAAATCTCTCAGAACACATACTTTTTAAGTGGTAAATGTCCCATGATAACCACGTAGATGACACTGAAATGTGTCAGTCGTTCTCCTGACTGTCATGGCCTCAGTGTGAGCCTGATCGTTTGTAAATTTTGCTACTTCGAAAATTTTTGTTTGCGAGGTATTCCGTCCACCTGAACTGGCGTTTAGTGATGATCGTTGGGGCATTGGTTTGACAATAGATCAATTGATGCAGTATCGAATCTTATTCCTAGCCGGTAGCCTAAATTGTTTCAATATCAAAGTTTCAAGTTAAATCAGTTTGCAGCTATTTTTAGCCCCAACTGAAACATCCCAGTTTAAAATGCCTCAGTTGTGGGCTAATTTCTGTTGTCAAGGCAACTGCAATGAGGCTCAATGTGATCTTGTTAGCCGTTGTTAGTGAACAAATACTGATACTTTAGACTTAAATAAAGTGTAGATATAACCTGCTCGAATCCTCTTGCGCAAAAAGGCTGGTTGTGATTGGTCATGGGCAGATTGTAGTATCCCAATTGATCTGTGCGTGTGTGTGTGGCCGATTGCTTTTAGTAGAAATCACCGTGCACAAGAACGCCCTGGAGGCTTGCACGGACAGGCGCGGCAACTGCGTGACTGACCAAACACAAACATTGGACAGTGATTCACGATTGTGTGCGCTTGTCCATGTAGGCCATCGTCGTATCATGTGACTAGTCTTGTGCACATGCCTAACCGATCACCAGTCGTTGAAGCTATGCCCTGCGTCTCGCACCGTCAGATCGAACGGATTTAGTTGTTTGATCGTAACAACTGTTTACGAGGGAAGTGGTTTGCTTGACAAAATTTCACTGACGCATCGACTGCCGAAACTGTCTCGGAGTAGCCACTTCCATGCAGAGATGCAGTTGAGAGACTCGAACCATCGTCTGGTCGACTTAGTTCTAAGGACCAAGTCTCTCCATGCCGATACTCAAGATGGTCACGAAGACCAGAAGTTATTTAGACACAATCGCTAGTCAGATGACTCAAGTCGCCTATGATGTTGCGTTTACGAGGCCATTCGTGCTTAAACGTGTCTGGCATCCACGGAAGAATACGTGGTCACGGGTTCGAGGTCAAACATCTTTCCACAACCACCAATGAGGTTGCTGAGAGATTGGCTAAAAATTTGGAATGTTGGAGGGGAGGGGGTGAAGTACGGAGGTGTGTTGATAGTGGGCGCATGCTAACATAATTCACTTCAACTGATTCGGATAATGTGGCTTCCATCCACCCACTTGATCACACGCACTCACCAAAGCTACTGAGATTCACTTTGTAGGCCCGTGCGATCAAAGCGTACGTGCTACCTCGTGTGATTGGCACAGGTTGAGTCCGCATGCATAGAATGGCCTTATTGAATGGCTACGAGCCTACCAACAAGACTGATCATTAGGGTCTTCACAGCGAAGAATCCTTCTTGGGTATGAGTGGCATTGTCTGTCAAGGAGTTCACGCATAATCGCCTTTTTCAATTGGCTTTTCTCGTTTGCCTCTTAACCACACATGATGTCCTCAAAGATGCCAACTCCGCTGTGGCTATATTGTCGAGTAAGCGGATCTTGGTAATTACCATGAATGGCAAGTAAGCTCATTTGCCTGCTGGTGAAAACTGTTGCTTTTCGAGTGAACACACCCCCTGCATCCTGACGAGCTGCACGTGGACGAGACCCAAGGCGGTTCGCTAAGCACTACCTACAACGACATTAAGTGGCACTAACGAATTAGAGGGATTGAACCGTGCGACTGCACTGCTTCCGGCAGTCACGTACACGGCTTTCTCCCAGGTTGTGGTGTCCACGTGATTTTGAACGAATTGCGTGTGTGTGTGTGTGTGAATGTTTACGCTGACGCAGCACAACTTCACCCTGACAGGTTCCAGTTAGGGGTTAATTAGAGGGCGAGAGTGGGCAGTTGAGTGGGAAGCCAGTCGAAGGACCCAGTTAACGCGATAATAAATACGGTGTCTAAAGGCACTCCCAATGGAAAGCCAGACAAATGAGAAGAAAGTAGTGGTGGTTGTGAGAACTGCCCTACTGACGGATGTCTGCGGCGAAATCAATTTGCCGTGCAGAAGATCAACTATAATAGTCGTGCCACAGCAAGCATTCTCCCCTTGATCACATTCTTTACCCGACACAAAACAAATCACTGGCAAATCACAAAATGAGCCTAGTAGTGTGCAGGTGTTTCACAAAATTTACAGAGGCGTGACAGCACATCGATGAAACGGAAGAAAGCCAAACTGCCTGACTTGGCAGGCTCCCTTACTGCAATCGTGAAAACGCAACAAGGCAAAAGCAAGACAGTGGCAAACAGGTTTTTGTGCAAATTCCATTGTCACGTTAAGGTAAGATGGAAATCGACTAAAGTACCAATTCCGCCGATTGTTATGCTATATCGTGGCGCTCGTTTCCTTGTTTTCATGCGTGGTGATTTCCGGATCAACTCGGTGTTATTGAAGTTAACACGTCCGTTTCCACAGTCAGGCATGATCGCATTGACGTTAGTTGCTCACTGCAGTGTTGTTAAATGACCTGTGGAGTTCTAAGGACCTGGAGCAGGAAGCAGATGCTTTCTAAACCCAAACACAGAAAGTGTACTGACTTCGAGAAACCACTCCCTGCATTTCCACTGCTTGCTCAAAGCCGCTCGCCTAGTAGACTTTCTAACGCCTCAAATCTGCAAGCGAATGACCTCCATATTGAATGGAAAGTTGATTTATTGGTTGGCTGGTGTCTGCTGCTACATTTTACATCATTTGCTCAGAGGGACTCGGTAGGTAGAGTGCTCTCAGACCATAATCTGTTCAGTGAGTCGGTGTTTTCGTCAACAGCACCGTCCTTGTGTCGAATGTCGCAGCAAAAGGCAACAGCGGGTGCATTTTGACCGCACACCTCTAATTTGCGACAAATTAGAGGTCGAAACATCACAAGTGAGTTAAATCGCTTGGCTGTACCAATAGGAGATGCGTCGTAGTGACTTTGGCGCAGCGTGCTTATCTCTGTGTGAAGATCTGACAGTCTGGATTTCTTGATGTCGTGGTGAAGGAGTTGGTCGTCCAATTCGGTGACGACATGTCTGTGGGATTTGCGTTTTTTGCCTTCAACCCTCGAAAACAATCAGCAGTTCAAAGCGTTAGAACATCAAAGTCATCAAAGTCTACTCATGGACAACGGAGGTGTCCAAGCGTTCTTGAATTGTATTTGTTGTATATACAATTCTTGTATATACCATAAATTTATATTTTGTGAATGCATAGGCTGCACTCAGCCCTCAGCAGGTCATATGGGGGTCATCAAGAAATCGATTCGTTTTACAAAGCTTTGCAGCAGGACCATCAAATCTATAGTTTGGACGCTGATAACTCCAATATACGATAATATGTTTAATATCAGCTTCACAACGTGGCATTAACGGCCTATTACTAATGCTGCCGCGTTAATGATTCTGAAGGCGCAACGAAGCGATTCGAGCTCACGATTGGTTACAGCACTTAACCGTCGAAACCTTGTTGAAGGCGAAAGGCGTTCTTAGCTGGGTTCTAGAGTCGAGGCAACCACTAGCTCAACGAGGCAACCTTTACCGCATCAGGTGTTATTTGAGTGCAGTCGTTTTTAAACCCGAGAATATTTAAGAATGCGTGATTGGCTGATTTACAAGTCGCAGAGATTCTAACGAACAGTTCCCAATGCTTGGCGGGTGTTTTGATTTGCGGAATGTGTAGGCTCATCGTTGTCACTGTTAACCTCAATTTGGAGATCAGCATGAGTCCTTCGCATGTGTGCGCAAGGTGTGCTTGAGGACAGGAATTAGCAATGCTAATTCGAAAATACGTACAAAAATTTACGTAAACACTTACGACTCGCACGCCTAGAAGGTTAAAGGAAAATACATCTAGGCAAGGGCTATTTCAAACTTCGAGTTAGATCCTAAACAAATTCCAATGTTTTCATGTTCCGAAATCATTTATTCTAGCCAATGACATTAAGGCGTAATCTTACACTCGATAACCCTGTGGTACGTTAATCTGTTAGGCAAGGTCACTCCTGTAGTACTGCGTGGAAGAAGACGCTCAGACGCTACCATGGCAACCACAGAGATTTGGGACATGCGACATTTCAAATATTTTTATGGACTGGTAGTTTTACAATAACAATTTGTTTGTTAGTATCAATGTTAGGGAACCAGTGACGTGTTTTATGAATTTGTAATTCCCACGCATTTCTTAATTGATGCGTCATTAAAAGATTCTTTCTTTTGTGATTTGCTTTGCAGCCAAAGCTTGAGAAGTGTGTCCTTTGCGATAAAACGGTCTATGCCATGGAACGGGTGGAGGCCGGTGGTTCGATCTGGCACAAGGGGTGCTTCCGTTGTAGCCAATGCAACATGGTCCTCAAGTATGACTTCGTTGTTTACTTAACCAAAAAATCAGTAGCGTGTGTGGTTGGAGTTAAAATATTATCTTCCTCCATTTGCAGCCTGAACAGCTACAAACAGGCTGATCAGAAGCTCTACTGTGGCAAGCACTACCAGGAGCAGATTCTGGCAAAGAACACTCAGACGCCAGTTTTGTAGTCATTTTTCTTCAAAACTTGGTTGGGGTGCATTTACAAACTCAACGGAAGCCAGTCATTACGTCCAAAATTTAATTAGTGGATCATCACCTTATCTGTCATTGCAACTATTAAAGTATTAAAGTTTTGCTTAATTCTTTTTCATGCAACAATAAAGTTCCTGCCTGTACCCCCCAAGACTACCTTGAAGTGTTTATTGAAGTGAATATCGTTATAGGTGGGAAAGCAATGTAAGTTGTAGTAATAAACTATTTTTCAGTTCAGAGAATAGTGGTGACTAAGCAGGTAATTCACACAAGTAAGAGCATTTTAAGATAAGTATGAAAGAAAAAAGGCATTTTAGCTTGATTAAGGAACAAAAAAAAGAGTCAAAGTTGTCTGGGTGCAATTTCCATGGTTAGGTGTTTGAGTGTTAGTGTTCGAAAAACTCAAACAAGAAGCCTTGAGCTGACTTTAATTAAGAAGATCAAAACCAGTGCTTCATAGATACTCGAGTAGTTTTTTTCAATTTGGTTAGTTTTTAATTTAACCCATATAAACAAGTTTATTTGTAAACATGAATTCAAAAAAGGGAATTCGAAATGTTCACAAATTCCAACTCACACCATAACTTGGGCTTCCACACACTCAGTCTTAAAGACTTGCTCTTAAGACCAGCATTTTTGGAATCTTGGCTATAAAACGAAAATACCTTCTCAATGGAGTAAGTAAAGCGAATGGGTCCCGTTAAAATATTAATCTTAATAATTATTACATAGAAAAACATCTCATGGTACCTCAACGATCATGAACCTCTCTTCATAATTTATTTTTCAAATAACTCATCATTTTATCATATATTAATGTGAAATTAGTCCTTCGACTTTTTAAATATGTAGAGTCGGAGCTGGGAAAATGCGAACAAAGAAATAGCTAAAATTCAGCAAAATTTAAACCTCCATTATTGATTATTCTGCTTATTTGTAGCAGTAAGGTCGAAAAGCAAACGAAAATCAGCAGAAGACTTGATTTCATTATGCTCAACATTTGGGATATTAGTTATTCCGATGTTAATTAAAATTCGACTGTCTTACAGGCAACGAAAAAGTCTCATGAATAAGATAAACAAAAACTCAAAATTCAATTACTCATTTGCCCAAGATACAATTTTTAGGTGTTAAATAAGGGTGCCTTTTAAAGATACGAAATAGTGCAAAATTGTGCATACTGTGGGTTCGATAACTGGTTCGAGCAAAGAACCGAAGGCGGAATCTTGTGAATATAAAACAAAGCGATATATTAACTGCTTATTACTAACTACTACGAAACACAACAAGCGCAGACTACTAAAAGTAGTAAAATCCTCCCAATAATAACCTTATATGAGATATTTTAGAAGCCTCAATATGTCAGAGATCAACAACAAAATAGAATTTGTTTCAATACAGTATGTGTATCGTTAGCAAAATATCAGTAAAACAGTCTTTTAGAGCATTTCAACCACAACTTTCATCAATTTTCTTTCAAAAATAAACCCAGTAGTGGATTTTTATTGTTTTATAAATTAAATCGATTTCAAAAAGTAGCCTATAACAGTTGAGTTCTTGTGTTAGTGCTTCATACCCCTGCTACATTAGGACCAGTGTACAATACCTGAGTCCTAGTCTTAAGAAGCCTGATTCAACATAACAGGTTTTACTGGCCAATTATTAGTTTGAAAGGCGAGTCCACTACGCTAAGTCGTTGATTATATACCACTTCTCAAACGTGTCTATCTCTGGTTCGCTGCCTATCTTCCTCACATGCCATTGGAACGCAAAGAGACAGAGGATTGACTGTTGACGGTACGGTACATCATGTCTGTGCCCTTGGACGTCACCACTGTAGAATATCCGAGCC